TGAATACATGAATAAAAGAGAAAGTTCTACATTCTGTGTATGAGAAGTATGAGGCAGAGAGTCTGGTGACAAGCCAAATGGAAAGCCTTGGACCACCAGGTGGCTGGTGGTAACTTGGGGACCCACACCAAGCCTCCAGGGGCAACCCTTCAGCCTAGCGGGGTTGGGTAGGGAGGGGTAAGTCTTCCACCAGGTGTTACTATGCAGGGTCAGGGGAGCCTCTGACTTGTTGAGGGGGTGTAGGGGAGGGGTGCTCTGACAAGGAGTGCCATATGAGAGGCCAGGCTAGAAGGAACCTGCAGTTATCAAAGAGGAAGGCATCACAAAAGGCCCTCAGCAAGCCAAAGAGGTGGACTCTTGCCAGCAGACAGCCCTATGACACAGACCCACACACTGCAGGCCCCATGTCCCCTCAGCAGCCTGTGCTGGCTGACCCTACCTGGGCACTTTTACACACATGTGCGTGCACACGCACACACACACACACACATACACACACACACACACACACACACACCTGCCCGACCTCCAAGCCTTCCCTTAAGCCTCACTTCCTCCCAGAAGCCTCAGATGCCCAAACTGAATCAAAGTCCTGTTGCTGGTCTTCCCAGAGCACGGACACCCCTCTGCCCCTAACAAGCCTTGCTTTGTGTCCACCTACTGGGTCTCCCTGACATCAGGGAGTGGGCCTTGGTAGTTCTGCTTTCTCATCCGGGCTTAGGCCTGGCCACCACAGTCCCTCCATCCACTGGCTAGATGGACAGCTTCACACTGCCTTTCCCTGTTACTCCTTCAATTTCAAGTTGGCCCTTGAGTACCAGGCCTCCCTGGGAAGCCCAAAACCCTGGTTAATGTTTAATCCCTCTCTCTCCAAATGGCTACATCCTGTCCTTCTCTCACTAGCCACCCCCAGTCCTGGAGTCAGACTCAGCCCTGGCCAGGAGCCAGGCAGGGCTAGGGAGGCCTGTGGGCAGCAGGATATGACGACTCCCACGCAACCTGGGGTCTTTTTCCATGGTTTGGCACACACAGTGCCAGGTGGCCACCTCTGCTGGCAGCCACCTTGCTTCTCACAGCCCCCTCTCTCTCTCACATCCTGTTTCCACCCCTCTGACACAGCTGGGCCCCAAGACTTGGGCTCCCACCCAGCATCCTGGATTTACATGTGGCTTTCATGGGTTGTAAGCAGGCCACAGACTTCATGTTTTTAGCTCATTAGTGGCTTAAGGAATTTACTCGGGGTGAGTCTCAAATGTATCTAGCATGGCCACTCCAGGTAACCGCTGTATAGGCCAGGGTTAAGATGGAAAAGCAAGAATGGGATCAGGTTGGAGGTCCAGACTGGAGGCTGACTGCCACCAGTATGCTGCGTGACCACAGGCGGGGTCCTTAAATAGGCTGCGGTCCCTCCTCCGATCCTGCAGGAGTGGCCTTCCCCATGTGAACCAGGATATGGGAACCAATGGGTGGACCAGGGTAGCCGCTGAGGTCCCAGAGCAGGATCCTCAAAACTCACATCTACCACATAGTATCTATTTTCCACAACTGTTCCAGAAATTCATCCACACTGTAGAAAACTCGAGACAAACAGAAGGGTGAAGAGAGCAAAGCAGGCCCATCCTGCCCTTCAGCCCACTGTGGAGTCACTTCCCTCAGACAGAAGCCCTTTGCCCTCAGTACAGGGGGACAGGAAAGGATGCACACAAAGGGGAACAGAAGGCTCCTGTTGTTGCAACAGGCCTAGCAGGGAGCCCTGACAGAACCTACTGCCCTCCTCAGGCAGCAGGAGGCCCTATTGTACTTGCTCTCCCCATCAGCTGATCCCACCAGCCCCTTCCCTGGCCCACATCTCCCCTTTCCTCAGCTTCTTTCCTTCCAGGTGTACAGCCTGTGGTGGGTATGGCTGGCGGTTGGTGGTCGCTAGTCTCTGATCTCCTCCCTGTAAGGTGAACAGTAGCCTGGCCTCCTTATCCCTCCTGGCCTTGGGCTGAGTCATGTGGACTAATTCCAGCCAAGGAAACAGCACTTGTGAGCCTGAGAATACAGGCTGATGTGTGGGGTGGGAGGTTCCTGAGGTCTCCTGGTGGTGCATCCACAGGACTGCCAGTCTGTCTCAACGAAGGCTCTATGTGTCCCTCCACTGGCAAAGCCTACTCCTTTTGTCCCTGGTTCACCTGTCTCCACTTCCCAACTTTTATTTATTTTAATGGTTTATTTATTG